ACTTGATTTTTCTGAATTCGGTGATAACCAAGTCTCAGTTAATGATAAAATATCATATTGCTGTAGTTCACTAAATATTAAATCAGTTTTTAGTAATAAACTCTGGACGTTGTAGTGTACTAGTGATAAATAATTTTGGTTAAGAATCGTTAAATCAGAAAAGGAGGAGGAATATTCAGGATCAGAGTTACTTTCAACATCTCCACAGCGAAGGAGTAATTTTTGAAGCCAGGTAAGCAATAATATACACATTATAGATGAAAAACTTTCTACAGCATATGCACACACGTATACGAAGTCTGGGCACGACCCACAACGTAAGAAAAGGTACATAATGTAAGAAAGACATGGCAGTAATATGTAGTACACAGTATCAGTGTGATCGTTCAACTTCTTAATAGTACACAAGTCTTTAGAAGGTTTATTCGGAACAAGCATATGCATAACTACTATGATAGGTAGCGCATTGATTTTGTATACTGAAAGTAAATTGATTCCTAAAATACAAAGTAAATCTAGTTGTTTTCTCAAAGGTGTCCTACTTGACCTCGCATGATACAACCCGATACGGACACGGTGAGATAAATAATCAACAGGCATTATGTAATATCATACACATAGTAAGGATATATCCGTGTCCAAAAATAACCAGTTCGCAACAGTCGAGGTTCACATGTTAAAAAATAGCGCCATTCGATTACATAATAAATAGAGTTTGGTAGTACGGCTGATTTATAAGTAGTATGCATAAGATAAGTTTCGTGATTCACCACAGTACAAAAACATAATAGGTTGTAACCAAATAGTAAAAAAGAAATTGGAAATAGAATATGGCCTCGAATGACCATTGGGTATTGAGGGAAAGCTAGTAAATTAGCCTGCTTTCTACACAACATACAGTATATACTTACAATTATATATATATTCTACACAGTGCAGTTACGACAGGAGATTCAATCGTTAACCTTACACATGATACAATGTTTGTACCAGCAATTAGATGTAGATATTAAAACATACGTATTATCTATCAAACAAGTCTTTAAACACACAAATACACACTCAACATCACACTCTCATATACACGTACAAACGTACGACCCTTGCACGCACTACAATTAAATCAATTTTAATTATATTAATTGCATGTATGACACACGCTAACACCTCCGTTAGTTATAATCATGTAATTCATGTTTCAAATCACTACAACTAGGTGATGTTAACAATATTTTCTTATACAGAAAATGTAAGCTTGAAAAGGACACTACGATTGAATCAATTAATAAGTCTATTATTGCATGTACGTAACTAGATTTAACCAGACTGACGGTTTATGTAATTACAGGTAATTATAAATGTATATACATTCATGATTAAGAAGAACAAAACAAAAACCACACTGTATGTATACAAATAAAAACATGTACATGTACACAGAACACGTACACGTGACAACATGCATACATGCATACCTAAACCAACAAACATGCACAGAAAATCGATTATTAGAACTATCAGTTAATTAATACACGTACATCACTAGGTATAATTAGATTTGACGGTTTATGTACTTTCAGGTAAGTATATAACCATTTCATGAAGGATAAATTGTTACTGTATAGTACGATACCCTACACGCATACGTATATATGCAAGGCAAGTCTTAAAGTCTAGTTATACAGTGTTAAATCAATCTGTTTGGTCACCATGTGGTGGACCGGGCATATCCGGAGTGGTCATGACATGACCAAACCTACACAAGTCCTTCTCCGTTGAGATCTGGAGGTCCGGTCCGATTTGTCCTTCACCATCACCTTCCCGTCCCAGGTCCAGGTCTGGACCACTGAGCTGGACGGGTTCTTCACCAACTTCCGGCAGTGAAACGCAAGTTTATCGCGATGTTTGGTAAGATCCTCATTTACCGACACAGACTTTGTAGCAGGACAATCTCTGAATTTCTTACTGGACTTCAGAAATGTACGTTTAGCCTCATATGACCGTAGTCTCATGATAATCTGACGAGGTTTGGACCTCGTTTTCACGGGATTTCCAACGCGGTGTGTCCGCTCTATATCCTCAGCACTAACGGATATGCCAGCTTTGTCGATGACATCCAGGACCAGAGCAGTAGAATTCTCATGTTGGGATTCGGGGATCCCAGAAATTCTAACCAAAGGCCTACGGCTGTATTGTTCTAAATCGTCCAGTTTCAGCCGTAGGTCTTGGTTCTCTAGCTTTATGGCGTCTAGTTCGACCCTTAGGGGTGCCATTTCCTTTTGTATCAAACTCGAGATTTCTTCTACAAGCATGTCTCTGACGGCCACAGCTATATCTTTTATATTATCTGGTGAGAGATTTACATTGTAAGCTTGAGGACTAGGGGCATGGCCCGGGGGATAGCCAACAGTCTGAGGGTAGTAGTTGCCAGGAAGAACGTTTCCGTGGTGAGCTGAGGGCGTCGACGTACCCATCGGGAGGTAAAGACCAGGTGGGCCATGCCAGGGTACAGAGGGTAATTTGTGGGATGGCTTTCATCGGTAAGTGATCCCTGTCTGGCTTTTTTACTTTCGGGAAGAATTGGAGACGAAGAAGACGTGTTAAAAAAATGTTTATTGGACGTGGAAGCAGAATCCATGGTTAATAGTATGAACACAGCATGTGCATGTACAATTTCACAAACAGTATCTGTCAGCTGACGGAGCGCGCACAGAAAATGTAAACAAACAGGTGTGTATAGGTAAGGCACACAGTCGTGGTCAGCAAGTCTATACAGGTAAGGCACACTATCGTGGTCAACAGGCGTGACGAACACGAGCGTGTACACGAGCGTATACGTTATACAATATGGCGACCTCGGGATACGATACAGTTTTTCAACATGTAATTACAGCAATGCATGATAAAATTATTGGAGTCCAACTGCATGAACCTATTTCAGAGTTAGTATATTACCATAATCCAGCTCATTTAACCAAACAGCAGGCCACAGTAGTGTATATTTTCACATTTCTTGCAGAGCTAAGTTACTAGGTGTTACTCGTTGAAATAAACAACATATTTCACATGAAATTCTGACTTTGTTGTGATGGCGGGTGTTTTGTTTACTCCCGTACCTGTACTAAGGGGAAATCACTCTGTCAAGCTGTCGTTATCAAGTAGAACTCTTAGCCATTCTATTAGAATGTTAGAAAAATGGGTATTTTTATAATAACTTTCAGAAATGGTTTTATGATTGAAATAATTGTGTTTTTTTTCATACAAAATTCTAAATACAAAAAATACCAAAAGTATTAAGTTGAATAGAAAATTATAAATATATTTATTAAAATAAAAATTAGCTGTAGTCATGTTTTATGTTTAAATCACATTTATTATGAAACATACATTATTTGACTCACCTTTAACCCACATAAAAGTACACATTTATGCGTAACATACCCCAGGCGGCACATCAGCATTGTCGTTGATAAACATCTCCTTTGCACTGAAACCGACTAGACTTGCACAGGCCTAGCTCTCGTGAAGCTGACGATTGTTTTCTTGTTCAAACATAATACCTGTCTGTGAGAGGTCAAAACTGGTAAAATTCGCTCCATATTACTATTGTCGATCATTTGATATCGGATAGGCCTGTACCCTCCCGTGTTCGAAGTAGTCGAGACAACCGGCGAAGTTGATCTGCTTCGGTCTTTTCAACCAATCAGAATGTGACAAATTTTGAAGCCCGCGACTTTCAAACCGCAACTTTTTTTATTGCTTGACCTGATTCGTCAAAAACGTCGAAAACTTTAATTTTTAAACCCGTTTTAATGAAGAAACGATTCAAGCCATAACGAATACGTTTGCAAACTTCACGCAAATAAGTTACGATGTGAAACATATTTTCTATTCCCACAGAGATGTTTAAAACGGTGATTTTTTAGCTTCTGATCTATTAATAACCAATCAGAGCGTCGCAAATTTTAAATTCCGTTCTGCACGATGTAAAGAAAAAAGATCACATAGTATGGTAGTTTCGTTTTGTGTTACTACATATATATAGATTTTTGCTTGAACTATATATATATCACGCATACGATACAAAAAGAGCTCGCAGCGCTCGCTATTAAACAATTAAATATGTTTCGATACCTAAATTTGTATAGCCGTGATTTAATTGAAAAAACAAATCGCCAAAAAATGGATTTTGACAATAAAAATTAGAGACTATGAGAAATACTTGCACAATTTCCTCTTTGCGATAACACATGTAAAAAGCACAAGTGTACGTAACACTTGTGCTTTTTACATGTGCTATCACAAAGAGGAAATGTTGAAATTTATATACTTACCAGGAACTTTTTGATAAAAGAAGCCAAAAACGAGATATCCAGTAATATTTTATTGGTTCCTTTATAATCAAATCATATAGTTATTTTAATTCCTTAGTCACCATTACTGTGAAAACCCGGGCATAGCCCACACACATCCGTTAACATAAACTGATACATGTTCTGGGGGTGGGGGCAGGGAGGGGAGGCGGGGGCAGGGGTCTCTGGATGGGGTGACGCTTCGTAATTGTATTTTGTACTTTCGTCTTTTCTATTTGAGGAAAATGTTTTAACGTATTTTTTAACAAAACGCTCTATCGTATTTTGTACATGTTGTTGTGGTTGCTTTCGAATTTTGAATAGAAATAACAAAAAATATTGAACAAATTATGCGGATTTAAAAATTATCCATGCAACAATCAGTAAGTTTGGCTCCACGAACCATTATCTGACCTTCCATGTGTAAGCACGGACTTTGATAACAATCTAATTCCGTGGTGTTAGTAATGATTTATGTACATGTAATAACAGTCCTATAAAATGTAACTGCTACATAGTATTTCAATTGATTTGCTTAAGGACAAACTTTCCAAATAATCAAATTATTGGATCATAAACTTTACATAAATATATATATATGACGTATGTAACCGTTCAAACACTTCACTTACTCAGAATCGTCACGTCCGCAACCACATATAGGATAAACCCGTTACTATATATAGACCAGTACGTTACATAAGGGAAGTTGGACAATTCCATTCAACACGATCTTGATTCTGTACGTTACTTATCTACTCAGTCGGCATGAACTGATGTCTAATGTGGCGACTAACAACGACAAGGTCTCGTAAGTTCTGTTTGTATGTTTTTATCTTCGACATAAAATGTTCACATGTTCGTAAATGAACAGTTCCCGGTTGGGCAGTGAACATCATGTAATACATATAAATGTACATTTTCCTGTGAGAGTAACACAAATGGGTCAGATATAATTTACTCTACTTCTCATTATCACCAACAGTTTTCTTCGTTTAATGTGACTTTGACTTATTTTTGTCAAATGGGACAATAAAGACACAACACAATCCGAGGTGACTGAACCGTGATCTATTAATAGACCAACATACGTATGTACACATAGCTAGACTTGTTTAAGTCACACAAATGTCTGAGGTAACTCTGTATTTTCATTTCTGAAAACACATCATTAAAGTGATGAATGTACATTTTCCTGTGAGAGTAACACAAATGTGTCAGATATAATGTGCTTTAATTCTCATTATCAGATAGCAAGCAGACCTAATTTCGTTTTTTTAAGGTGAGTTTGAAGTTAACTAAAGTTTTACAGCCCTACCATTTCATTCTAATGTCTCCCTACCATTTCATTCTAATGTCTCCCTACATTTTCACACTAATGTCTCCTTACCGTTAACATTAATGTCTTCTGACCGTTTCACACTTATGTCTCCCTTCCATTTCACACTAATGTCTCCTTGCCGTTTCACACCTGAGTCTCCCTATGGTAGACTCCTTGCCGTTTCACACAAAAGTCTCCCTACCATTTAACACTTAAGTCTCCCTACCATTTCACACTAATGTCTCCTTACCATTTCACACTAATGTCTCCCTACCATTTCACACTAATGTCTCCCTTCCATTTCACACTTATGTCTCCTAACCATTTCATACTAATGTCTCCTTGCCGTTTCACACTAATGTCTCCCTACCATTTCACACTTATGTCTCCTAACTATTTCACACTAATGTCTCCCTACCATTTCACACTAATGTCTCCTACCATTTCACACTAATGTCTCCCTACCATTTCCCACTAATGTCTCTTTCACACTTATGTCTCCTAACTCTCCTAACCATTTCACACTAATGTCTCCTAACCATTTCACCCTAATGTCTCCTAACCATTTCACACTAATGTCCCCCTACCATTTCACACTTATGTCTCCTAACCATTTCACACTAATGTCTCCTTGCCGTTTCACACTCATGTCTCGCTACCATTTCACACTAATGTCTTCTTACCATTTCACACTTATGTCTCCCTACCATTTCACACTAATGTCTCCCTACCATTTCACACTTATGTCTCCTAACCATTTCACACTAATGTCTCCCTACCATTTCACAATTATGTCTCCTAACCATTTCACACTAACGTCTCCTTGCCGTTTCACACTCATGTCTCCCTACCATTTCACACTAATGTCTCCCTACCATTTCACGCTAATATCTCCCTACCATTTCACACTAATGTCTCCTTACCATTTCACACTAATGTCTCCTTACCATTTCACACTAAAGTCTCCCTACCATTTCACACTTAAGTCTCCCTACCATTTCACACTAATGTCTCCCTACCATTTCACGCTAATATCTCCCTACCATTTCACACTAATGTCTCCTTCCCGTTTAACACTTAAGTCTCCTAACCATTTCACACTAATGTCTCCTTGCCGTTTAACACTTAAGTCTCCCTACCATTTCACACTAATGTCTCCTTACCATTTCACACTAATGTCTCCCTACCATTCCACAATTATGTCTCCTAACCATTTCACACTAACGTCTCCTTGCCGTTTCACACTCATGTCTCGCTACCATTTCCCACTAATGTCTTCTTACCATTTCACACTTATGTCTCCCTACCATTTCACACTAATGTCTTCTTGCCATTTCACACTAATGTCTCCCTACCATTTCACACTAATATCTCCCTACCATTTCACACTAATGTCACCTAACCATTTCACACTAATGTCTCCTTGCCGTTTCACACTCGTGTCTCCCTACCATTTCACACTCATGTCTCCCTACCATTTCACACTAATGTCTCCCTTCCATTTCACACTAATGTCTTCTGACCGTTTCACACTTGAGTCTCTCTATGGTAGACTCAATGCCGTTTCACACTCATGTCTCTCTACCATTTCACACTTATGTCTCTTTACCATTTCACACTAATGTTTCCCTTCCATTTCACACTAATGACTTCTGACCGTTTCACACTGAAGTCTCCCTTCCATTTCACACTAATGTCTCCTGACCGTTAAACACTAACGTCTCCTTGCCATTTCACACTTATTCTCCCTACCATTTCACACTAACGTCTCCTTGCCGTTTCACACTTAAGTCTACCTACCATTTCACACTAATGTCTCCTTGCCGTTTCACACTAATGTTTCCCTTCCATATTCACACTAATCTCTTCTGACCATTTCACACTAATGTCTCCTTACCATTTCACACTCATGTCTCCCTACCATATCACACTCATGTCTCCCTACCATTTCACACTAATGTCTCCTAACCATTTCACACTAATGTCTTCTTACCATTTCACACTAATGTCTTCTGACCGTTTCACACCTGAGTCTCCCTATGGTAGACTCCTTGCCGTTTCACACTCATGTCTCCCTTCCATTTCCCACTAATGTCTCCTTGCCGTTTCACACTATTGTCTCCCTACCATTTCATACTAATGCCTCCCTCCCATTTCACACTAATGACTTCTGACCGTTTCACACTTTATCTCCCTATGGTAGACTCCTTGCCGTTTCACACTCATGTCTCCCTTCCATTTCACTCTAATGTCTCCTTGCCGTTTCACACTATTGTCTCCCTACCATTTCATACTAATGCCTCCCTCCCATTTCACACTAATGACTTCTGACCGTTTCACACTTTAGTCTCCATGCCATTTCACACTAATGTCTTCTGACCGTTTCACACTGAAGTCTCC